CTTTTTTTTTTTGCGAAACAGGTCCTTGAGCGGTTAACAAAGAGGCAGTGTGTGTGTGAGTCACAAGCCTGTCTCAGCCTACCCCTACGGTTCCTCACATTAATCACAGCTTGTTATATTAAACAATCTATATCAGTACAGCACAAACCTATTATGTTTAATCATTAAGTATTCTTTCTAAGCTAGGCATCACATCTAGTTGTAAGAAAATAGATCCCCACACCAGCCACGTCGCGGTCACCGACGTCTTGCTGCCAGACAAGTTAAACAAGTTATTGACCGCTTTGAGGATAACACAGTGCCACCGCTGCAGCCAGCTACCAAGAACTGTGGGCTCTCTTCTCCGTGGCCGACGTGAGTAACACATTTAAACGTGTTAACCCTCGCAAGGCTGCTGGTCCAGACGGCATTCCTAGCCGCGTCCTCAGAGCATGCGCAGACCAGCTGGCTGGTGTGTTTATGGACATAGCCCAATCTCTCCCTATCCCAGTCTGCTGTCCCCACTTGCTTCAAGATGTCCACCATTGTTCCTGTACCCAAGAAAGCAAAGGTAAAAGAAAGCAAAGGTAACTGAACTAAATGACTATCGCCCCATAGCACTCACTTCTGTCATCATGAAGTGCTTTTTAGAGACTAGTCAAGGATCATATCACCTCCACCTTACCTGTCACCCTAGACCCACTTCAATCTGCTTACCGCCCCAATAGGTCCACAGATGATGCAATCGCCATCACACTGCACACTGCCCATCCCATCTGGACAAGGGGAAATACCTATGTAAGAATGCTGTTCATTGACTATAGCTCAGCATAGTACCCTCCAAGCTCATCATTAAGCTTGAGGCCCTGGGTCTCAACCCCGCTCTGTGCAATTGGGTCCTGGACTTCCTGACGGGCCACCCCCAGGTGGTGAAGGTGGGGGAAACAACATCTCCACTTCATGATCCTCAACACTGGGGCCCCACAAGGGTGTGTGCTCAGCCCCTCCTGTACTCCCTGTTCACCCATGACTGCATAGCCATGCACGCCTCCAACATCAATCATCGAATTGCAGACGACACAACAGTAGTAGGCTTGATTACCAACAACGATGAGACCGCATACAGGGAGGAGGTGAGGGCTCTGGGAGTGTGGTGCCAGGAAAATAACCTCTCACTCAACGTCAACAAATCAAAGGAGATGATTTGGACTCAGGAAACAGCAGAGGGAGTACCCCCCTATCTACATCGACGGGACAGCAGTGGAGAAGGTGGAAAGTTTTAAGTTCCTTGGCGTACATATCACTGACAAACTGAAATGGTCCACCCACACAGACAGTGTGGGTGAAGAAGGCGCAACAGCGTCTCTTCAACCTCAGGAAGTTGAAGAAATTTGGCCTGTCACCTAAAACCCTCACAAACTTTACAGATGCACAAATTTAGAGCATCGTGTCGGGCTGTATCACCGCCTGGTACCACAACTGCACCGCCCGCAACGCAGGGCTCTCCAGAGGGTGGTCCTGTCTGCACAACGCATCACCGGGGGCAACTACCCGCCCTCCAGGACACCCACAGCACCCGATGTCACAGGAAGGACAAAAATATAATCAAGGACAACTAACACCCGAGCCACTGCCTGTTCACCCAGCTATCATCCAGAAGGCGAGGTCAGTACAGGTGCATCAAACTGGGACCGAGGACTGAAAAAAGCTTCTATCTCAAGGCCCTCAGATGTTAAAAGCCATCATTTTACATTTACATTTTAGGCATTTAGCAGACGCTCTATCCAGAGCGACGTACGTATTGAGGTGCATAAAAGTTTATTTTATTTTATTTTATACTGGCCCCCCCCAGTGGGAAAGAAACACACAACCCCTTGGAGTTGGCAAAGCGCCAGCTTCGACCAACTGAGCTACACGGGGGAAGGGCACAGAGGCGATGCTGCCTACTAAAGACTTGAAAAAATCACTGGCCACTTAATAAATGGAACACTCGCATTTTAATAAGGCCACTTTAATAAGGTTTACCATCTTGCATCTTACTGTCTATCTGGGAATAACTTGTAGCTAGACTAGTGTAATAAGTTTACATATCTGGCAGTTATCTCATATGTTACAGTGGGGAGAACAGTATTTTGATACTACTGCCGATTTTTGAGGTTTCTAACTTAAAAGCATTGTAGAGGTCTGTAATTTTTTATCATAGAGTAACACTTCAACTGTGAGAGACGGGGATCTTAAACAAAAATCCAGAAAATCACTATTGGTTGATTTTACGTAATTAATTGCATTTTATGCAGGACATAAGTATTTGGTCACCTACAACAGTAAGAATTCCGGGAGCTCCACAGACCTGTGAGTTTTTCTGTATAAGAAGCCCTCCTGTTCGTCCATCATACCTGTAGTTTAAGGCACTGTTTGAACTCTGTACCTGGATAAAAGACACCGGCCACACCACTTCAAGCAAACAAACTCCAACCTATCCACAATGGCCAAGACCAGAGAGCGGTTGTGGAACATCAGGGATACATTATTGTAGACGCTGCACAAGGCTGGGGTGGGCTACAGGACAATCGCAGCAGACTTGGTGAGAAGGCAACAACGTTGGCGAATTATTAGAAAAATCGGAAAGAAGTTCAAGATGACGGTTCCAATCGCCCTAGGGCGGGGGCTCCATGCACGAATCACACGTGGGGGCATCAATGATCATGAGGAGGTGAGGGCTGATGAGGGATAAGCCAAGAACTACACGGGCACGGAACATGGGTCACTGACCTGAAGAGAGCTGGGACCACAGTTCAAAGAAAAACCATTAGTGACAC